AAGTGTGCAATTGGCTGTAGTGTCGTTCCTTTGACTGGATGCTTATATCCAAACAATAAATTTTTAGCTCCTATTATTAAATTTGCTGCTAATAAAGTCGATGTTTAATTCTTTTTTATTACTATTTAATTCTTTTAATATTTATATTTGCTTATATAGAGTATTGTTTAATCTAATACGTTCAGAATCCGTATGAAAGAATACTTCGAGGCTCTGATAGTAGCAAACCAACCAGATGTACAAAAACCCCAACTCTATTCCAAATTGGAAACTAGTTCTCTACTTTTTGGACCACCCCCAAATATTGGCTGTTGGTTTATGGTTCAACTATAAGGGCGAGAATCACGATTATCTCGACGAGACAGGGAACAGGTGCAAGACAGTGCAAATATCAATCTTGAACCATTCATATCTCTGAGTGAGAACCAGCTAAAGCACACAGCCTCAATAGACACTCAAAGTTTAAGCTTGGCAAAGAAACAGTCAATGAAGAGTTGCTTTTCTAATTCTTTTTGGATCTTATACAAGCTACCGGTGTTACCAAAATTCCGGGGGAATTTTGCAGACTAACTCCAATCTCCGAGTTTCGTACAACATTACTTTTCTTGGGGGCTTTTCGATGGGTGTGGCTAATAAACGTCTAGTTGTAAAAAAAAAAAGGATTTGACCAAGCCCATATTTAGTACGGGGAAACAAATATTGAAAGGAATGTCCAGAAATTGGAGACAACAGAAAGAGGCGAAACAGTTGGGGTAAATCTAAAGATAACTGCCGTTGCAACCGAGTTGTAATTTGCAAGCCTAGGATGGGAATGGGTTGGCTTAGATTGCAAAATCTTTCTGACGGAATTGACTTACTCTTAGAGAGTAACAGCCCTGCCAGAAGGAAATTAAACATCCAAATTGGTAGAGTGTTCAAAGTGAAGTGTGATGTGCAGCTTGTGAGTCTGTGCATCCATTCCATTCGCCAAGTAGATTTCAGAAGAGAAATAAAATGACAAGGCTGAATCATTTTTTTTTCACAATACCTATTATGTAAGTTCGCCCATAAAAAATAAAATATTTTTTAACACAAGTAAGACGTGGAACTTTAGATTACGTAATTGGACAGTGCTCTAAAAAAGTTTATATGTTCTGTTAGAAGTCGTTGATAGAATTTCAAACAACCTAGTCACTGATAATTGAACCATTCTTAACGTTGATCCCCAGTTCAAGGTTTTAACCTAGTTTCTAAACCAGCAAAAACTTCGATTGAAAGCTAAAAGTTCGATTAGTTTTTAGGGCCAAGAATGTCATCGATTTTCAACCCCATCAAATATTTTTTAATCAATTAGATCTTTCTTTTCATTCTAGAATGCCGTAATTGAAAACCCTAAGATTAATCTTCCAGAAGGGGAGTATATTAACATCGCCTTAAAAACGTTTGTCCTTATCTTTACGAAACCCTTCACATTCTTATACCGTAAATAAACAATAAAAGGATACTTGATTATATAAATACGACCAATTCCCCCCACCATCCTTTGCAAATCTCTATTCCCTCTGATCAAGAAAAGAAAATCAGACCGACTTCAAATCTTTTCATTTTAACTGTTGCCATAATGAAGAAACCTATGCTGAAGATTAGCATCCAAGAATTGCGTACTCACGGATTGACTACACCTAAGGTCAATTGGGTGTATTGTCCAATTGCTGTAATATTTTACAGTTTCGCCTTCAATCTAACCCTTGTCATATTGCATTCCGTCTATACAAACGGAACCAGAATGAATTCATTAGCAATTGTCCGAGTAATTGTCAACTTCCTATATTTCTGTTTTGTCATCTATGAATATAAGAAACCTCAAGAATTCAAAACTACACGTATGAAGAGAACAGATTGGTTCATATGTAAGGTAATGAAGAAAGTATTATGGTTGTTATTGTTCGCGCTCGTAGTTGTACAAGTTGCTCAAATGACTTCAGGTAAGCTTGAAAATCCTTTGAAATTAAATCTGAGCGTTGTTACCGAACTTGATATTCCTGAATCCAAACGAGTCACATATTTATCAATAAATGTTGTCAGTGCCGTCATCAACGGGCTATTGTTATGTATTTGGTGGTCAACTTCTATTTCCAAAGTATATCTCGTTTTTGCCCTGAGTAATCTTTTCCAAATTTTGATTTCGATAGCTCTTATTGAAATCAACATATCATGGTACAATGTTAGTTGGCAAGGGAACAGATTGCATAACTTGTTTGTATTATCAGCTTCTTTTATTTTGGGCCAGTCCATGATGGGATTGTTAATTGCCTTCCTTATCAATCCGAAAAATCGTTTGAATGATGTCATTGGAAAGATGGTATTTTTATTCGACATCGTGGTGGTCTTATTCACATTATTGGTTCTAGGATGCATGGTCACAGCTGCAGTATATACTGATTTCAACGGAGGTGATCTAGATGATCTAGGTGATCTAATTGATTTCGGTGAAATGCCAGTCAGCGTTGCTATATTATTTGCTTGCACTACCGCGTTGAATGTTATAATCTTTGTATGTACGAGATACTTCCGTTTGCGTACTTTTACTGAAAAGATACACGTTGAAGAATATAATCTTAATGAACTTACTCCCTATCAGAAACAAGGATGGGCCAAGTTAATTGATATGAACAAGAAATATAACGCAGGAACTTCTGGGGATCAAGTCGTATCGTTGATGGAAAACTATACCAATTCCAAGTTACATGGTATGAAATGTAAGGTATTACGAGTATTTAGAGATCATAATGTCATTGATCATAATCAAAGTACCGAGAAGCCTAAGCAAAGACCAGAGCTCAGTAATCGTACATTGAGCACCGCCTTCAAGACATTGGATCGAGAAGTAACTTTGTTCCATGCAAACACTTTGAGTGATTCTGATGAAAATATCAAAGACTTGGAAGAGAAATATAAACCATTATCAAAGAATCAACTCAAGAAATTGGCCAAAAAGAGCAAGCAACAGAAACAATTGGATGATCTTAAGAGTTTAGAAAATAATACCGAAAAGTTCTATCAAGAATTAGTAACAACAGAAGCCTTAGTCATGATAACTATAATTGAAGAATTCGATTTAGCTGAAAGAATCCCAGGAGGTCTAGGCCGCGTATTATCTAAATGGTTTGGTAAAGACAGTCGGTTCCCTCTCTTATGTATCAAATTTGGATTGTTAGGATTCCATTGGCCATTCAAGAGATCAACCTTCTATTGTAGTCAGACGAAAAAGCCAGTTGCAAGAGCTACTGCGGTCTTGTCAGCCATTTCAAACTGGAACAGATTGAATGAAAAGTGTACCGTGTTGTTAGATCCAATGTATGCCGATCGTGATTTCGAAGTAGGGATCGACTATTCAGGTTGGGTTAAGATCAAATTACCCAATTCTCACGTTATCGATTTAAGGCCATTCGCAAACAGTACACCAAATGACTATTTCAAAGCAATTAAATATAGAAACCAAGATGGAACATTCAAACAGGCTAAAGGAGAAGTTCTTGAAACTGATGTCTTCAATTTTGAGAATTGTCAAGAAATCATAGATATGAACCAGAAGATTGCTAGTAATAGACTGCTGTCGGGTCAATCTTCACAATTATTGCAACCGGACTGGGAATTCATTTATAATCTTGGTAATTACTCCAACGAGAATAAGTATAGAACATTGATGTATTTGAAAGTGGATGGGAAGATAATTGCAAGTTGTGTATTGTTTAGACTAGGGGAAACTATGACATCTGATATTCAAGGTTTAGATCATGAGATCTCCAAGAAATATAAGGCGTATTTCGTGATGATGCAAGAAGTGATTAAGATTGGTATGAAGGAACGAGTTAGTTTTATTGATTTTGGTCCAACTACAGAAGAACCAAAATGTTCAATTGGATGTCACGTTGTACCTTTGACGGGATGTTTATATCCTAAGAATAAATCGTTAGCTCCAATTATTAAGTTTGCTGCTAGTAAAGTTGATGTATAAAAGTTTTCGGTTTGATTTAGTATTGTCTAGTGTGATTTGTTTATAGGTAAAATATATTGTTTAGGTATCTTGGGAATGTGATGACTTCTTTGTCTTTCATCAACATAAACTCAACTTATCAACTTAAATGCCGAGGCATGGAGTGGTAAATTTGTGGACATTTTTAACTAAATTCTCCAAACAAGTAATGTAAGAAATAGAAACTATGTAAAAAGTAATACACCATCAGTAACTACAAGCACTACAAAGGAATTACATACAGTCCTACGTGATAACTGTATACAATCCAGTGTTCTGGTTCACTTTCAATATAAAATTTGCAACCAATCACATGACTATACTGCATATAAGTTTATGGTCAATTCGTTTTTTTTGGCATCAAGTACACGTCATAATTAATGTTGCAATCTTAACGCCAAATTTCCAAACCTCCAATTTTCATTTGCCATCCCAATTTTATTTCAAGCAAATCATTCATAGACACACCCAATCAAAGTATGTCAACAATATATGACAAACACTTCAAACGGTTCGAGACCCTCACGGACCGTCTTGAATCGAAATTCAACCTCACAACCAATGAATTCCTATTCCTAACCTCATTCATCCTAAACTTCATCATTGGCAGAATCATTCATCAAACAGCCCCCGATGAAGAAGTATACAATTATTATACAGATAAACGAAACATCCTAAATCAATGGTTTGTCAAAAAAGGCTGGTTTTGGACCACGGTGTTCATATCCATCTTCTACATCTTCATAATCAAACAATCCCAACACAGGGTCCAAATCATCAAGGGGGCAATATTGAGATATATCGCCGCCACGATCTGGTGGATTCTTTTCACACAATGGTGTTTTGGAATACCGATAATGGATAAGATATTTATTTTGACGGGTGGGAAATGTGTGGTTGAAACCCCGGGACATAGTCATCATCATTTATTTCAACAGTCGGGGAATGGAAATGGGTTTGAATCGAATAGGATTGATTCATATAGTTGTAAACGAATGAAAGGGTCTTGGGAAGGTGGTCATGATCCATCGGGACATGTTTTTTTGATGGTACATTCTTCGCTTTATTTATTTCTTGAATGTCGACAATATTGGCCCGGATGGGGGGTGTTGGTTGAAAAATTGAAAGGAATTGTGTATTCTTCTCAACAAGGATCAATAGGGGAGAGGATTAAGCTGATTGTGAATGATACTCCTCATGTTTTTCTAGTGGTGTTGATTTCGTTTTGGTGGTGGATGTTGTTGATGACTAATATATATTTCCATTCTATTAGTGAGAAATTAGTGGGGTTGATATTTGGATATATTGGAGTTTTTGTGGTGTATTATGTTCCTAGATTCCTTAAGAAGGACGATTTTCCAGATGTTAAAAAGGATGTATAGATTGAAGGGGTTGATTTCTTTTGAGCATAGAAGTTCTGGTTTACGATTCAGGCAACGTGATGGACATTGACAGACATTTTGTTAAGCGAATCTGCTGGGCCTGAGGGAAAAAAGACGAGCCAAGTTGGCTATTTAGTATTTGATATAACGCATAGTGTTACTGGACCAAGCCTAATACTGTGTCCAACTTAATCGTCATTATTGAAGCAAGCAGTCGCAGGATATGGATTTGCACGCAATAAAAATTCTTGATAGAGGGAATACGGTATATTTGCTATACCCATCCTAGCGTTGTTTAGCATATTTTTGTTCTTCAGATGATAGATATAGATCGTATAAAAATGAATAATCAGCAAATGGATGATTACATTCTTGTTGGGGCTCTGGTAAGAAGGACTTGACTAACCAATGTTTGTCAAACTTGTTTTAACAAACCCATTCAATGTCAATGTGGAGGTGCACTTGTTTCAACAACTTGAAAAACTCGTCATTGGTAAGACAAACTCTAAAGAAGTGAAACTTTGCGCTACATGTAGATTGAGAGTAAGAATACGAAGATGAAGTTTAGATTCCATATCTTAAGCTTTTGGAATCTACTGCAATGCCCAAGAGACGCACGTAATAAAGAATGGTTTTTTCCTAAAGTTTCACGATTGAAGAAACCTGGAAACTTCTTTGCATTAAGAAGCGTTTTGACCAATCATTTGTGGATTAGTTTTCTTAATTACAGTTTATATTAATTAGATAGAATTAATATTTTTTTTGAAATTCCGCTTATATTAATTACTTGCATACATAAAGAAAAACTGCAAAGTTTAAAATACCAGAGGAAAGTTAAAGCTATGGCATATGATTTTTAAAGAGAGCAGCGAACGGAGAGTATAGCAAGTAGAGACGATCACCATCAGAGACGCGAACGTGTCTTTGTTATAATTTTTTTGAAAACCATGCAGTTACCTGTGTGATTCTGTGGATTTAAGCAAAGATTGTATTTGTTACCAAATGTTTTGCCAAAGAATTTTTAAAATCTTCAATAAACATTCGAGTAGGAATTGTAGAGTACAGAACCAAGTCTACAGTCACAAGAAGAAGAACAAGAAATCGTGAATAATTATTTATATTATAGGGAGAATGGGTTTAGTTTTTTCCAAAGGGTGCAAATGAGCGGCAGGAACATAATAACTAAAACAAAAAAAAATAACCCACAAAACTTTAAAAATATGTTTCGAATAAGAACGTACTTTTAATAATATCATACGCACCCCCCTTGGGGGAGGTGCTGTGACAACCAACTCCTCAACTTAGAATTGTCAATGAGGAGAATGTAAATATTTACAAGATGATATCTATGGAAGTGTGGAAAGTAACTACTTTTGTTCAATGGTGGGAGTCGTTGACGGAGTTTTATCAATTCGTCTAATAAAATTGACAAAATCGAGTAGAACTCTGTACTGGCAACCAATTTATTAAGAGATCATTTTTTTTAGTCTTGTTTAGGAAAAAACGCGATTTTTAAAATTACGCGTAATTTTTTAACCAAAAGAAAACATTTTATTTTTTTATTTTTTGTTTCACCAAAAAAAGCTTAAAAGTTTAAAAAAATTAAAAAAAATATTAAATCAATAATAAAAACCCCTTTTAATTAAATTAAATAACGTGTAAATAATTAATTACAAAATCTATAGGTGGTGAACAACAGGTACAACTTGCATAAACTACAATAAATTAATTGCATAAAATAATAATATTTTTCGTGTACGCTTTTTGTTCAAAGTGTAACCATACAATTCATACCAAGTAACATTGCAACACATTACAATTTTTGTTTTAACGCTTCTTTCGTTTTTTTTTTTTTTGCAACAATTCTTAATTTATTTTTTAATAAAACAATTATTTTTTTTTTTTTTATTTTTGACGAGAGAATTTAGAAAAAATGCATTTTTATTTTCAATGTCTGTCTGTCTGTCTGAACTACAAACTCTTCTTCTTCTTTTTGGTTGAATTTTTTTTTACAACACTTTTCTCTCTTTCACTCCTTTTTGCCAACTGACAATCAATCAAACTAACCGTTTTTACATTCGCTTCACTTCTAGAAAAACAGAATTTTCAATCAATTGGAGAGAGAGATAGAGAGACAGAGATTGAATCAATTAAGAGATAAAGAATCACACACACTCACAGACGAACTTACAACCAATAGACAGATACACGAAAATAAAAAAAATGAAGCAACCAGGAGTCTTATCACTGGTGCTACTACTACTACTCACAGTAACAACCACATTCATTAATGCTCAAGTATCAGTGGAATTCCCATTCGATCAACAATTGCCCGATGTTGCAAGAGTAGGTCAACCTTATAGTTTCACTATGGCACCAAATACTTACAAATCAGACATTGCCGGTGCTGTCGTCAATTATAGTGTTCAAAATTTACCCGATTGGTTATCATTCGATCCAGCTTCTACAACTTTCTCTGGTACTCCATCAGTAGGGGGAGAATTCCAAATTGTCCTTATTGGTACTGATTCTGTTGATGGAACTACTTTGAGTAATAGTTATAACATGATGGCAAGTCAAGATCCAGGCCCAAAGTTAGCCTCTGATACTATTATGGTCCAAGAAATTCAAAAATATGGAGGTACTGATGGTAATGGTGGATTAGTTGTTTCTGAAGGTCAAGTATTGAATATTCAATTTGATAAAAGTGTATTTGTTTCCAATGAGGGAAGTCAAAACCCAATTGTCGCTTATTATGGTAGATCTTCAGATCGTACTCCCTTACCTGTTTGGATTACTTTTAATGCTGATGATTTGTCATTCACTGGAACTGTTCCTCAAGCTACTTCTGAAAATGCCCCCTCTGTTGCATTCACTTTCAGTCTTATTGCCAGTGATTATTATGATTTCGCTGGTGCTGAAGGTCTCTTTAGATTACAGGTTGGTGCTCATCAATTGAGTACTAATATCGACCTGCCAATTTTAATTAATGCAACCGCAAATGAACAAATAGACGAAGATATTCCAGTATTAACCAATGTTATCTTAGATGGACAACCAATTTCCAAAGAAAATGTCGGTAATGTAAGCTCCTCAGATTTACCATCATATTTGAACTTAGATACGGAAAATTTTAAACTTACAGGTACATTACCAGCTGATTTCACTGATGTTAAATTCACAATTAAAATTCAAGATATTTATCAAAATGATGTTGATTTAGCATTTGAAGTTAAAAATACCGAGGAATTATTTGCAATTAATCAATTACCTAATGTTAATGCAACTAAAGGGGAATTCTTTGATTATCAATTAGAAGATAGTTTTTTCACTAACCATGACCAAACCACAGTTACAATTGAACAATATGATGCCAGTTGGTTGACTTATCATCAAGATAATAAGACTTTTACCGGTATTGTACCAGATGATTTTGATAAATTAGATTTGACTATCGTTGCTGAACATAATGGAATTACCCAAACCAAAGGATTATCTCTTCTTGGTATTAACAAAGAAGTATTAATCACAACTTCATCCAGTGAATCATCTTCCTCAACCAAAGCTTCTTCAACTTCCCACACATCAAGCAGTGCCACAACCACAAGTGCCACCACCACTTCATCAGAACCATCTGCTACCAACACTTCAGAACCATCCAAGGAACCCGAAGCAAAAGATACAGCCCTCCCATTAAAGATCGGACTCGGAGTAGCCATCCCTGTCGCGGTAGCTATCTGTGCCATCCTTGTATTCTTCTTCTGTATCAAACGCAAAAAGTCCACCGACAAAGATCAAGATCTCGAAAAGAATGACCAAGGAGGAAATCAACCAAGTCCTTATATGCCACCTACTATTTCTGGACCTCAGAATGTGCATAGTTCAGCCATGAATTTTGCCAAAATGGATCAAGTCAAGACTACTGCTCCTGACACCAAGTCAACCTCGTCTTCGATTACTCATGTTGAGAGCGATTATGGTGATGATGAAGTAGTAGAAGGGTCGAGTCATGAACATACTGCCATCCCAGTTGAACAGCCTATTAAATCATGGAGAGCTAATAGTGAATCAGATTATAAGAATGGAGATATGTATAATAATACTAATAGGAGTAAAGATAATAGAGTAAGTGCCGGATCTATGGATACTGTCAATACCGAACAATTATTCAGTGTTAGATTAGTGGAAGATCCCGAATATAGAAACTCAGTAGCTTCCAGTCATTATTTATTAAACAATGATGCTCATTACGCCAACGACAATATTCAACGATTAGACAGTGACGGAAACATAATTGCCACATTAAATGGAAGACCCCCATCCGGTTCATACATGTTATACCAAGACCAACAACAACAACAACGATCTGGCCCCCAACCAAAATCAAACAATCCTTTCCTTAAGAACGCCACAAGTGAAGGGAGTATCGGCAATCTATTAGCCCAAGTCAATGAACAATCCAGCAGCACCACCATGTCTTCATCCGCCAGCTACACCACCAATAATGACGACGTGGTTGAATCGCGTTGGCAACAAGATCAAGACCATAGTCCACTTCCAAACCCCACCTTCAGAGACGATCAGAGTTCATATTATGAAACACCAATCCCATCGGCTCCGGCTTCAAGTACGAGGGAGAATTTCTTTGTGCATGATGATGGGGGGAATAAGAATGGGGCAAAGTTGGTTGAATTTACTAGAAAGGGGAGTTTAAAACAGGCGGCGAGGGCAAATCCGTTTGGATATAGAGAAGAGAGGGCCCAGATTCAGGATGATGATAGTGATTGAAGAAGAAACAGGTTGATGATAATAACTTGAACTGGTCTTTTATTTATTGTTTTTTATGGAATTGTGGTTTTTTAGTTCTTTTATATTTCTTCGTCCTTGTTGTGTTGTGGTTTTTTTTTAGTTTTATGTGTTTTTGGAATCATTCAATTCGAATGAAGAAGTGGGCTGTATAATCATCATTAAGATTGATTTTGTGGTAGACTTTTTGTTAAATCCCCTTTTTATATATACTTTTCATTTTTGTTTATTATTTTGTTTAGTTCTTTAATTATATTGATGTATAAAATATAACTATAAATTGTCTGAGATTAAGGGATGGATGAGTAGAGCTTTGAGAAGGTTATTGACCATCCCTTTCCAGCTGGGATCCCTGCTCTCAAGAGAGCTACAACGAAGTGTCCATATTAAAAATATTATATTAAAATCATATTAAATAGAGAGAGTATCAGAATTACTTACTTGGATTTGGTAACATCTTAACATAATTAGCAGTATCCTCAGCTCTTCTTCTTCCTGCAATATATTCCATCATTTCCGTATATGTCTGAGGTATAACCGAACAATAAGCCGCCTTACCATTCGAAGAAACACTATCTCTAGGCACAAAGAAACTATAAATAAAAGTTCCACTTTCTTTCTTTTCCTTACTTTCCAAGGTTTGAATAAAAGTATCTACTTTAACTTGTATCAAAGTCCCCGGTTCAGAGAGAAAAGCATCCGGATTCTCAGAAATCGTGTTGGTGGCAGGTAAATCGAAATTAAAAGGAGCGTCAACATCATGTTCAGCAACACCATCAGATTTAAAATCATGAAGATGTTCAGTATATGAAACACTAGCAACCATTGAACAAACACTTCCAACAGGTACTGGGGCTTTAAAAGTGGTAGAATCTAATGAAACGAATCTTGGCCCGGCAGATGAGAAGGATGCAGCACAACAATAGGCTAATTCGAACGATTGTCTCATTAAATATCCCCCAAAGATCATGTATGAATGACGATTACGGTATTGTGGTTGCATAAAACAAGTGGATGTGACTTCTGTATCCTTCATAAGGGCGATTCCTGATGGGAGGGTGACGTTGTTGGAGACTAATCCCAGGGATGATTTCCACATGTCATAAATCAAGCTTGATTCTTCTGGGGTTGGTTCAAGAAGGGATTGGTTTTTGGCGGAGAGTTTCTTCTTCGCATTATGAGATTCTGCCCTACGATAATCAATCCAATCTTCGGGTGTGATGGGTAAGAGTCTATTAATGGCGAATGCTCTATGGGTGATTGGATTACGAGCAACGAAGGTGAAATTGGCAGTTAAGAATACTTTTGAATTAGGTAAGGATTGTCGAGTGATATTTTCCGGGATTTTATCTTCAAATGCATACCCCCTTACTGTGATTTCCATTGATGATCTACCTGTCCAAGTACAACTACCAGCAAGTACGAAATTATAATTAACAATCTCATCCACTTTTTTAACCATATAGATTCTATCAACACTTGCAGTCACATTAACTGGTTCAGCAGGGGCACAATGTCTATAAGCAATTCTACCAGCAAGGGCATCTAAATCTTGAAACATTTGTCCGGCACGTAATCTCCCCTGAGCATTAATATAAGCATCACATAACCACTGATCTTCTTTGAAAGGTAAACTCAAATATGTAAAAGAATCATCACGAGTCTTATCTGAAACTTCAGTAGTTTTGGGGTCAACATAAGCAAATGAATCAATAACTTTCCCTTCGGATAATTGTTTTTCACGTTCTCTAAGAGCATCTATCCAAGTTGATTTGTTTGGGTTTGTTTGGGAATCACGGACTTGGGCTAGTATTGTAGCTGCAGCATCTGCCGCTTCGGCAGGGTCATCCGAACCAATTGTGTCTTTGAGATGGAAGTTTACATCCTGGAGTAAACGGAATTGATTATGAAAGGGACGAACGAATCTTGGAGAGATTCTTGACACTGCACGTTTTGAAATTGTTTTAAGCATGGTGGTAATTGATGAAGTTTTCATTAACAAGAAGAAGAAAGGGAAAAGTTAAAATTGAAGAATTGAGAGAAATTCAATTGGATATTTAAATAACTAAATTGAGAGATGAGACAAGAGACAAAATCTCGGGGTAATAAGGAAACAAATTACGATAGACCACAACAAAAATGAGTTACAAAAAATGAGGGATTATAATTAAGAAATTATTTGGGTATTGTGTCAAAAATAGATCGAAATGGAAAAGAACGGGAAAATGGAAAGATTTGAGTCATCCTTCATTAATTAAGGCTGTGTTTGTGGATGTACTCTTGTGTCTATCTATGTTTTTTTAATTTTTGGTTGCGATAAGCGAAACAAATAAAAATCCCGAGACACAATTTTTATTTATTGGAACCCAACAAGAAAAACAAGAAAGACACAAGAAGGGGGGTCATAGCAACGTTCGTTTTAAACGAGATAGGTAGAAAACGGTTCATCATGTCAAGAGAGAGAGGGGATAAATGAGGGGGGGCGATGTCTGTCGTATAGGAATAGCCTTGCACACACCTCATCGTGGTTTAATCGCCCAAAAAACGTTGGATGGGTTTTGTGATAGATTGGAAATTGTTGGTTTAGTGAGTTTAAGAAACCCCTCCTCTCCTCTCCTCTCCTCTTTCTACAAAATTGTGATTTGTTTTCCGAAAATCTCCAGGACTTCATATCACGTGAGCCTCCGGGATGGGCATTTAACCTGTAAATCAATTTTCAAATCACTTTTACATGTTTTGATCACGTTAACTGTAAGATTCTTCCAACCTGTAAAGATCCATTTTTTTCGGTTTTCGGTTGGAACTTGTGTCTCGGTGATTATTGTCCGTTAGTAGGAAAATCTATCCGCTTTTTTTCTAAGTTAACGGACAGATGAGGACCGCATTTCAATGTCAGATCTTTTCTTCCAACTCTCCAATTAATTAACCACACACTTTTAAACTCTCTTTAGAAAAAGAGAAAAAAAATATACAACAAACTTTCAAAGAGACCCTTTTTCTTTTTAGAAGTAAGTAGATCACATAGCATACCACTCTACAATGGCTCCTTCATCAGTTGCAAAGACTGCTCAATTAGCAGCTCAACAATTAAAATATAATAATAAAATGATCAATACTCAAGCATTAAAAAAAGCTGGTCAATTTCAAGCATTAAGAATGATGGATGTTCGTTTAAACTCCAATGTTGCTGCTCCAACCACCATGACCGTCAGAGATGCATTAAACGCCGGTTTAGCTGAAGAATTAGACCGTGATGATGATGTTTTCATAATGGGTGAAGAAGTTGCTCAATATAATGGTGCCTATAAGGTTTCTCGAGGATTATTGGATAGATTTGGTGAAAGAAGAGTTATTGATACTCCAATTACCGAAATGGGTTTTACTGGTTTAGCAGTTGGTGCTGCTATGAATGGTTTAAAACCGGTTTTAGAATTTATGACTTTTAATTTTGCTATGCAAGCTATTGATCAAATTGTTAATTCTGCTGCTAAGACTTTATATATGTCTGGTGGTATACAACCATGTAACATCACCTTCCGTGGTCCAAATGGGGCTGCTGCTGGTGTTGGTGCTCAACATTCTCAATGTTATGCTGCTTGGTATGGTTCTATTCCAGGTTTGAAAGTCGTATCTCCATATTCTGCTGAAGATTACAAGGGGTTAATTAAAGCTTCTATTAGAGATCCAAATCCAGTTATATTCTTGGAAAATGAAATTGCATATGGTGAATCATTTGAAATGTCTGAAGAATCTTTATCTCCAGATTTCTTATTACCAATTGGTAAAGCTAAGATTGAAAAAGAAGGTAGTGATCTTACTATTGTTGGTCATTCTAGATCAGTTAAATTCGCTATGGAAGCTGCTGAAACTTTAGAAAAGGAATTCGGAATCAAAGCTGAAGTTATTAACTTAAGATCTATTAAACCATTAGATGTTCCAACTATTATTGAATCTGTTAAAAAGACTAATCATTTAGTTACTGTTGAAGCTGGTTTCCCAGCTTTTGGTGTTGGTTCTGAAATTTGTGCTCAAATTATGGAATCTGAAGCTTTTGATTATTTGGATGCTCCAGTTGAAAGAGTTACTGGTTGTGAAGTTCCAACTCCATATGCTAAAGAATTGGAAGATTTCGCATTCCCAGATGAACCAACTGTCTTAAGAGCTTGTAAGAAGGTCTTAAGTTTGTAATAATCTTATTTATCTATTTACTGTGTATAAAAATTATTTTGAGTTTAGCATTGAACCTCTCTGTTGTTGTTTAGATCTGAGGAGATAAGTTCATATTTATAATAAATATTATTAAACTATTAAATTGTTATGTTAAAAGTTCCATCTAAATGTAATACCATCAGTCAACGCGCGTGTCTAAAAATATTTAAATCTGTCTCCTCCAAAGTGGAACCCCCAACAGGCGCACTAAAAAAATAGAACGAACAAATTTAATCTTGAAACCAGCTCATATCAAAGCTCCTTCTAATCATCTCAACTAGTTCCACGCCAATGTCAGAAGATTCAATAGACTTCCATAGACGTCATTCCGTGGAAGAAAAAGTCGACCATCTCTTCCACAACCTCGGCCATGCCGCCTTCGACGAAGAAAACAATGGACTCCTCCTAGTCACCAACCCGGAATTTTCCACTCCATCCTCACCCATCAACCATTCCCAACCAGTATCATCATCTCCATACCGATCAGAAAAACAATCCCAATCCCAACCCGTTGCACGTCCCCAATCAGATCGACTCCTCCCAATGGATCGAAAACCATTCATTATCCTAGTCATACTATACATCCTCCAAGGTGTGCCCGTAGGGCTCGCATTCGGTTCCATTCCATTCATACTTAAATCAAAACTCACCTATTCCCAAGTCGGACTATTTTCATTCGCGACCTATCCATACTCCCTAAAATTATTATGGTCCCCGTTTGTAGATTCAATCTACAACAAACGAATCGGACGAAGAAAGTCATGGATAATTCCGATTCAATTCATCTCAGGGATGACGATGTTGTATTTGAGTAAAAATATTGATGAATTGGTTTCCGGAGACAATCCGGCCGGGAATTTAGGATTGATTACGATGAGTTTTTTTATGTTGATTTTTTTCTGTGCTACCCAAGATATAGCCGTTGATGGCTGGGCTTTGACATGTTTATCAAAGGGGAGTTTGAGTTTTGCATCGACGGCTCAGACGATTGGGATAAATACCGGGTATTTTTCTCTGTTTACGGTTTTTTTAGCTTTGAGTTCTCCCGATTTCGCTAATCGGTATTTAAGAACCCAGCCACTTGATGTGGGATTGTTTAGTTTGGGGTCATATTTGAGATTTTGGGGTTGGATGTATTTGATAGTCACGGTTATATTGATCCTTTGGGTGCCGGAAGATCCACCTCATTTATACACCCAACTCGCCAAAGAAAAATCCCATGACTTATACAACCCCAGCTACAAAACCAAATCCGACCTTACTCCAGACACACTGTCCCCCACCACGAAATGGAAAGAATTACTCGGGGTATATGAATCAATGTATCAAGTCCTCAAACTCCCCAACGTCCAAACCTTCATCATCATCCTCCTAATCTCCAAACTCGGCTTCCAAGTCAATGAAGCCGCCACCAACTTAAAACTCTTGGAAAAGGGTTTATCCAAAGAAGACCTCTCCATTACCGTGCTAATCGACTTCCCATTTGAATTGATCTTCGGCTATTACGCCGCCCGATGGTCGAACGGAAAATCCCCCCTCAAACCATGGATATGGGGCTACATTGGCCGTCTAATCGCCGCCGGACTCGCCCAGCTTGTGGTGTATTTCTTCCCGGAGGATGGAAAGATAGGCAGGGGATATTTCGTAATGATCATCTTACAGCATTTATTAGGGTCTTTTATGTCCACGATCCAATTTGTTTCATTGTGTGCGTTTCATACCAAGATTGCTGATCCGAGTATTGGAGGAACATATATGACTACCTTGAATACTTTGTCGAATTATGGTGGGACTTGGCCGAGGATATTTATATTTTACTTGATTGATCAAATTACCCAATGGGAATGTGTGACCCCAAATGGGGCGAGGTTTCCGGTGGGGAATAGTGATGCAGAGAGACAGAGGTGTTGGAATTATGATAATGGAGGAGGGGTGTTGCTGATTGTTAGAGATGGATATTTTTATACGAATGCGTTATGTATTGTCATGGGGATATTGATCTTGATATGGGTGAAGAAGAAGGCGTTTTATTTACAATCATTGCCTAATTCCGCTTGGAGAGTTAAACGTGAATAGAAAAAGTTTATAGATTTATAAATAAATTAATTAATTACACATAGTTTCTATACATGATTGCTATTATTATTATTACTCTTTATTGACGTCGGAGCCGATCCATAAAATTCATCATTCAAGAAATCAATGGGTGAGAATGGAATCTTCATCTCATCATGCATTTTCTTATTCACATTACTCATTGTCCCCACAATACTCGGGATTAAATTAGTAGGCAGGGATGCTCCTATATTTATAACTGGATCTCCTCCGGTTGAACTTTGTCTTCTCATTGATCGAGAGATTCTTTGCATGAGTTGATTATTCCAAGATGTTGATGATTCGATAGGAGGTCGTGATGATGATGGGGATGATGCTTGTGAGGAGAGGATATAATGGGATGGTGGGGATGTTAGATATGAATAATAATGGGTATGGGTATTGGATGAAATTAATGAACTTCGTTCATTGGGTGATATTTGGGCGTCTATTGTGGGAGTATGACTATGATGGGGGACTAAAACGGGGTTGTAATTGTCTTGGTTGTTGTTATCTTCATCGTTGTCTTCGTCTTCGACAAGACTGTGATACAGGAATTGATTTCTGGTATACCAGGATGGAGCCCGGGTTCTAGGTGGTTGATGAAGGACTCTACTATTCCCACTTCCGGTAGTTTGTTTATATAATTTAAATTGAATCAATATTATTCCATCTAAGATGATCATGCAAATGGTGGTAGTTAGTAGTACTATTTGATTATTATTGACATCATGTTGTGAATATAATACTGATAAATAAATATTTATACAAATGGCAATGGTATGAAATATACTTGAGATAAAAGTACAAATGAATAAATAAATAGAAACCCCTTTTGTTGATTTATATTTATAATTGTAATAAATTTGAGGTAATCTTGATGAAAAGGATAATCCAAAGTTAATTAATGATTGGAGTGAATATGCGGGGGTTGTTACTTGTGAAGAACCGGTATCTGTCGTGTTCATGGGTATAGGATGAGCATCAACGGTATTTGATAGGATGGTAGGTATAGTAGCAGATGCTATCAAAGCATGATTTGAATTACGATGGTGAGTAGTGGTATAAACATGATGATGGTAATAATAATATTGTGATAATAATACTAAATCTAAGAAGCAATAATATAAGGATACAATTGAAGTGGTGGTGGTGGTAGTCCCATTTCCCGAGGAAGGTGGTGGTGATGGTTGTATACTAGAAGGTGAAGATGACAAGAAGAATATATTTAATAAATCTTGTAAGAATAATATTAATATAAATGATAATGATAAATTTTGAAATGATTTATTATAATGAATTAAAATGATTTGTGGTATTAATGCAATCATTGATATTGTTAATGAACCAATAGATAAATAGTCATAAATAATGACTAATAGATTATTATGAGATGACATTGTTGTTGTTTTTTTTTTCTATGATCTATGTTCTTTGGTGATTAATGTACATTGGATTAAGTTAAAACTGACATATAAAAAAAAGGTAATGGGTGAGGGATGGGGATGGATGGGAATCGAAGGGTATAAATTAAGTAGTAGCAGGTAGTAAGTAAGTGAGTAGTAAGTAAGTAATAGTGTAAGGTAGTGTCCCTATCACATATATGAAATATATACGAATCTATTAAAGTGTGTCTATTTAAAATTTAATAGTTTTTGGTTGTCAATTAGAAATCAAATGGCCAAAAAAAAAAAAAGAAGTTTGATGGATGGATGAGAATATGAACTTAATTAAATGATTTTCTACTGTGGCTTTATAGAAGACTTTCCTTTAGATAAGAAACAAGAAGAAGGCACGCGCTTAATTCCAAACGAAAAAAATAATATTGTAGTACAATACAAACAATTAAACATTGAATTGGTAAAGTACACTACTTTGTCTTGTGGTATAATGGATCATTTGCACAATTAGTCAGCATCTTGTTCAACCTCAATAACTTGTACATCCAAATAGACGACTGATTATTAATAGAATTATGGATTATTTATAGAAGTATTCAATTAATTTATACTTTATGAATCTACTATTATAATTTAAGATTTTGATTCGTCTGAAGTTAATTTTCACCCCCATGGCCTGGCCATGTTTATTTTTTTTTGGAGCCGTTCGAGATAAGATAACGAAAAAGCTACGATTGTAAGACTGCCAAGGCAACAACTAACCCAGGGCCCCTTTAAATAAATATACACTATGTAAAACTGTCTACTGTCGATATCTATCGAGAAATCATTAGTACATATATTGAGTTTTACTGCCACAGTTATTTATTCGATCAAAGGAATAATGATTTTAAAGTTTTGAAAAATCTTATAAACTTTCTGCAGCATGTACTAATTATAGTTCTTTTGGTCATCGTCCTTATATTCTAGAATCATCTCTAAAAGCTCTGGCACAATGTGTTTTGATATTTCTAAAGTTTCCTTCAGTTGAACAAAAATTGTATTTGTTTTCATTCATTCCTGGAACATACATCTTCATCCCTTTGATGAAGTTATTCTATTGTTGATAATTTTCTGTTAATTAACAAAAATTGGCTGCCATTTTTTTTTTTCTAGTGTTGCCAAATTTATAAATGAAAATCATTTAAACCTGTTTTCTTTTGACAATTGATCAAAGTAAAAAGTGTCATTAAATTAAGACAAAAGGTGAAGAAGAGAATTACTGTAAGAAAACCAATATCGTCATATAATCTCTTCTTTCTCTTCTGTCTTAAAGCATTACTTTGATGATTCTAATACACATGGATGAATGATGCTTAGATGAAATACTAACATTCCATCTTTATCTTTTCGGCGCATTGAAAGGCCTTCTGTAGGTTCAGTTGACGATATCCTACCAGAACATGGAGAGTCCATGTGTATACCAGCTGCTTTTTAGTAAGGTACAAAGCACCAAACCAAATCGGAGAAGGAGTGAAATTTTCCGACCACCAGATCAAAATTGGAAACGCGTCTTATTCTGAAAAATTGCCTTGATTCATCTAATTTCCAAGTAAGCACCAACTATACGTACACAACATGGTACTTCTAACCGATATTATCAGTCTGCAACAATGTTTTAACAATATATCCACTGGCATACCATCATTAGATCAAATCTTCATACAAAATATTCTGGGGATTAAAAACAAAATATATGATTTCCAATCAGCATCAACTTGTAATGCAATGTATATTGTCATTGGCTCATTGATTATATCCCATTTGAAGAACAATCAACCCGTTGTGATTATTAATACTTTGAATAAGTTCCCCTTGCATTTTCTTACCTCACATCCTGAATTTGAATCAAAATGGGTGAATGAGAAGCTTCTTGTTATGTATACTTGTGATACATTTGCCAAATTATATTCATGCTTTCTTTTCAATCATAAGACTAATATCATTCATAACAATTCCATAATCATCATAAACGACTTTCATGAATTAATAGAATTATATAAACTAGAACTATCCTCCGCCCATGAAGAACTAATCCTAAAACATCATATCGACATGAATTCCACCCTCCTCCTAAATAACACCACCACCACCACCACTAAAGAACCACTTCCAGAACTCCCACCCACATCAGACCTTCTCAAAACCAGCCCCATTGCTAAATTCCACACCCATCTCGAATCATTATTTAACACACTCTTTCAAATCTGTATATCCCATAATCTGATGCTATTCATCCTTGGCCATCTCGACACGAAATATCAAACATATAGAATGAAATCACAACCACAAATGAATTCCTCTCAATTGTCATATGCCGATAGGGGAAGAGTCGTACTTGCACCCCATGTCTATGAGAAATTGTCTACAGTTTCCCGAATCCTGTTTTGGCATGATTGGTATCACCACACCCCTCACTTCCGGGAGAATTTCCCGGCGGTAAGACAGGGACATAAAGTGAGTATTAATGAGGGACAGCTTCGGCTTGTGTTTGGTGTTAGGGTTGAGCTGCATGGTGGACGTGGATATGGGCCGGTTTATTTTGATGTGGATGGAGAGTTTTATCATGATGATGATGATGATAAGTATGAGCAGAGGAATGAGAAATATAGGTTGATTGACTTGTCAAGAGTGAATAATAATTACAGGAGAGAAGAATTACTGACTATTCCTTCATCTCCTATTATGCATGAATCAACTGTTATTGATGTAAGTGTTACTGACGAATCTTTCCAGATTTGAAAAATCCTGTATATAAGCTCATCTGGATATCCATCGCAGATTTTTTTTTGTTTGAAGAGAATTATTTTTTTTTTTATTTTGAAAAATCAACTTTCTTTATAGATTTTGATAAACACTGCAATCATGGCTACTGTTATTCCACCACCTTCTAAGAAGCAAAAGAGAGAGGCTCAACAAGTACGAGATGTCGATTTTATTCCAGCCGATTTACCTAATGTCTTAATCAAATTCCAAGCATCAGATACTGGTGAATCCATTGGAGGATCTATACGAGTCCCAGGAGGAATTACTGAAAAACAATTAGAAGAACTTTTAAACAATCTTCATGGAGAATCAGATGATCCAGTTCCATATACATTCTCCCTCTTAAATGAAACACCCGACTCCACCAAGACCACCACCACCAATGTCGCACCAACTACTATCGACATCAAAGACAATCTTTATACATCAATTCTCAAACCGGGTATCAAAACCACCGAAGATTTCTTAACATTAGTCTACACCCCACGAGCAATCTTCAAAGTCAAACCCATCACCCGATCCAACGCCGCCATTGCGGGACATGGTTCTACTATCTTATGTTGTCAATTCGCCCCCAACGATTCGCTGAGAATGTGTTCCGGTGCCGGCGACTCCACCGCCAGAATATGGGATTGTAATACCCAAACCCCGATTCACACCTTACTGGGCCATACCAATTGGGTCCTCTGTGTGGCATATTCCCCCTGTGGGACCATGATCGCGACGGGGTCGATGGATAATAGTATTAGATTATGGGATGCCCAAACTGGAAAAGCATTGGGAAAACCGTTGGTCGGACATAATAAGTGGATTAGTTCTTTGAGTTGGGAGCCGATCCATCTTGTGAATGGTAATGATTCGCCTAGACTTGTGTCGGGGTCCAAAGATGGGACGGTGAAGGTTTGGAATACGGGGACGAGGGTATGTGAATTCACAATGAGTGGACATACGAATGCTGTTAGTTGTGTGAAATGGTCCGGTTCTAATATTGTGTATTCGGCCTCACATGATAAGACTATCAAATCTTGGGATATTTCCGCTGGGGGGAAATGTATTCAGACTTTGAAGAGTCATGCGCATTGGGTGAATCATTTATCTATCTCGACGGAATATGTATTGAGAAAAGGTGGATATGATCATACTTCTGTCAAATCATCCATTAATGATTCTCGGGAAGAAATGAAAGCCAAGGCATTGGCACAGTATGAAAAAGTCGCAATGTTGAATGGGACAATTAGTGAACGATTAATTACCGCCAGTGATGATTTCACGATGTATTTATGGGAACCCCTCAAATCCTCCAAACCCGTCTGTAGAATGACAGGCCATCAGAAATTAGTTAATCATGTTTCTTTTTCTCCGGATGGGAGATATGTGGTTTCTAGTTCTTTTGATAATTCGATTAAATTATGGGATGGGATTAGGGGGACATTTATTGCCACTTTGAGAGGACATGTTGCTCCTGTGTATCAGACTGCTTGGTCGGCGGATAATAGATTGTTGGTTAGTTGCTCTAAGGATACTACGTTGAAGGTTTGGGATATTAGGACAAAGAAGTTGAGTGTTGATTTACCGGGACATGCTGATGAAGTATATGCTGTTGATTGGAGTATGGATGGGAAGAGAGTTGCTTCTGGAGGGAAGGATAAGATGATTAGATTGTGGTCTCATTAGGATGTAGTTAGCTATATAGAAACACCTAAATAGAAAATAGAAAACGTAAACTGGAAATCTACCTTGAGTGTATTGTAGTTACTATTAGAGAGCCTAGGGCCATTACATTTTATATGCATAACTCTGTTTCTTTCTCTTTTCAAACTATAGAGTTTTACCGTAATCTTAATCAAGATCGTATAGATAATAGTAGTTCGTATTTTAGTGTCCGTAACTGGTTAGAATAGAGTGTATTAATAGGAGATCAGATTTTCCTGCATATATCAGTAGGCTGTGTTTGACATTTTATTTTTAGTGCCACTAATTTTAATTTTGTATTATTTATTTCGTTCAGTTTCTAAATTGACTTTCTCGGCCAAAACCAGCAACCGATAAAAAAATCCACTTGAACATTTTCATTTGGTTCTTCTTTCTCCTATTACACACCCAAATACTATTAAAAATACAACTAGAGAAAGATGGCCATTGTGAAACGAGGCGGTCGTACTAAGAACAAAGTACAACCAGCCAAACAAAAAGAAACTGGCACTGGTATTAAACGTGCTGAATTTGATATCACCAAGAAAAAGGAAGTGGGAGTGTCGGATCTTACCTTGTTGTCAAAAATTACTGATGAATCTATCAATGACAATTTACATAAAAGATTTGATAATGATACGATTTATACTTATATTGGACATGTCTTAATTTCTGTTAATCCTTTCAGAGATTTAGGGATTTATACTATGGATAATTTAATGAAATATAAAGGAAGAAATAGATTAGAAGTACCACCTCATGTATTTGCTATTGCTGAATCAATGTATTATAATTTGAAATCTTATGGAGAGAATCAATGTGTTATCATCTCTGGTGAATCAGGTGCCGGTAAAACTGAAGCTGCTAAACAAATCATGCAATATATTGCCAATGTTTCCGTTGATCAAAAGAATGCTGAAATTAGTAAAATTAAAGATATGGTATTAGCTACTAATCCCCTTTTGGAATCGTTTGGTTGTGCTAAAACATTAAGAAATAATAATTCAAGTAGGCATGGGAAATATCTTGAAATTGAATTTAGTGAAGGAAATTATCAACCAATTTCAGCTCATATTACCAACTATTTATTAGAAAAACAAAGAGTTGTTTCTCAAATCACTAATGAACGTAATTTCCATATCTTTTATCAATTCACTAAAGCCTGTCCTCCAAAATATCAACAACAATTTGGTATTCAGGGTCCACAGACTTATATCTATACTGCTGCGGCAAAGTGTATTGATGTTGAAGGTATTGATGATCTGAAGGATTTTAATGATACTGTTCAAGCCATGAATATTATTGGATTAACTCAAGAAGAACAAGATAATATCTTTAGAATGTTGGCTCTGATTTTATGGATTGGTAATATTTCTTTTGTTGAAGATGAAAGTGGGAATGCAGCAATTAGAGATGAAACAGTCACACAATTTGTAGCATATCTTCTTGATGTTAATGCCGAAATCTTAAAAAAGGCAATCATTGAAAGAACGATTGAAACAACCCATGGTTCTAGACGTGGGTCTACATATCATGTTCCATTAAATATTGTTCAAGCAACTTCCGTTAGAGATGCTCTTGCTAAGGGGATTTATAATAATCTTTTCGAATGGATTGTGCAAAGAGTTAATATTTCATTAAAGGGTCACCAACAACAATCTTCTAAATCAATTGGGATTCTTGATATTTATGGATTTGAAATCTTTGAACATAATTCATTTGAACAAGTTTGTATTAATTATGTCAATGAAAAATTACAACAAATCTTCATTCAATTAACATTAAAAGCTGAACAAGATGAATATGTCCAAGAACAAATTAAATGGACTCCAATTGATTATTTCAACAACAAGGTTGTCTGTGATTTAATTGAAGCAACTAGACCACAACCAGGTTTATTCGCCGCCTTGAATGATTCCATCAAAACCGCCCATGCTGATTCCGAAGCGGCCGATCAAGTATTTGCCCAAAGATTAAGTATGGTTGGTTCAACTAATCGTCATTTCGAAGATCGTAGAGGGAAATTTATTATTAAACATTATGCAGGTGATGTGACTTATGATGTTGCCGGTATGACCGATAAGAATAAAGATGCAATGTTACGTGATCTTTTGGAAATGTTGGGAACTTCTGCCAATTCATTCGTGACCCAAATCTTATTCCCTCCAGAATTATTATCCCAATTAACTGCCAAAAAATCCGAGACTGCAAGTGATAAAATTAAAAGAAGTGCTAATTTATTAATGGATACTTTATCCCAATGTGCTCCATCATATATCAGAACCATTAAACCAAACCAAAATAAAAGACCTCGTGAATATGATAATACTCAAGTCTTGCATCAAGTGAAATATTTAGGATTGAAAGAAAATGTCCGTATTAGAAGAGCCGGTTTTGCATATCGTTCAACATTTGAAAGATTCGTACAAAGATTTTATTTATTATCACCTGCAACTGGATATGCTGGGGATTATATCTGGAGAGGTGATGATATTTCTGCCGTGAAGGAAATTTTGAGATCTTGTCATATCCCAAACACTGAATATCAATTAGGTACCACCAAAGTATTCATCAAAACCCCAGAAACATTATTTGCATTAGAAGATATGAGAGATAAATATTGGCATAATATGGCAGCTAGAATCCAACGTGCTTGGAGAAGATATGTGAAGAGAAAAGAAGATGCTGCTAAGACGATTCAACATGCGTGGAGAATCAAGAAGCATGGGAATCAATTTGAACAATTGCGTGATTATGGGAATGGATTATTACAGGGGAGAAAAGAAAGGAGAAGAATGTCAATGTTGGGTTCTAGAGCATTTATGGGAGATTATTTGGGTTGTAATTTCAAGAGTGGATATGGGAATTTTGTTGTTTCTCAAGCTGGGATAAATGAACCGGTGGTATTTTCGAATAAGGGAGAAATCTTACTTGCGAAGTTTGGTAGATCATCAAAGAGATTACCCAGGGTTTTTGTATTGACAAGAAGTAATTTGTATGTCGTGGCTGAAGAATTGGTGAATAATCGATTACAATTACATAAGGAGTTCACTATTCCTATTAATTCGATTAATTATGTTGGATTATCTAATTATCAAGATAATTGGGTTGCTATTTCACTACATCAAAATACTGCAACTTTGCATGATATATTTATAAACTTAGATTTCAAAACTGAATTAATCACTCATTTGAAGAAATTAAATCCCGGATTATCAATTAATATTGGCCCTACTGTACAATATCAAAAGAAACCTGGAAAATTCCATACTGTCAAATTTGCAATTGGATCAGGAGCCGAAGTTCCAGTTTATTCTGATCATTATAAATCTGGTACAGTACATGTAAGACAAGGATTAGACTCCCGTTCTCAGAATCCAAAACGTCCAAGAGGGGTTTCTTCCAAGGTTGATTATAGCAAGTATTATAATAGAGGAAATAGAATGGCCTCAATTACTCCTGCTTTTAGTACCCAACCACAAGCCAATTATCAACGACAAGCACCAGTCTATCAATCCCAACCACAACAACAGCAACAGCAACAGGTACCAGCCATTCAAACACCTGCTCGACAACAACAGCAGCAGCAACCACAACAACAGAACGCTGTTTCTCCATCATCGTACCAACCGGTGCTGCCATCAAGATCTCAAAGGAAGGCACCTCCACCAGCACCAAGTTTACAATCTGGGATTTCTCCTGCCGCAGCTGCTGCTCAGGCCGCCTATGGTGGTCAAAGACAACCACAATCAGTTTCTCCACAACCACAAGTTCAAAGACAACCACAACTACCAAGAGCAGCACAATCAGTTTCTCCACAACCACAAGCTCAACAACAACCAACAGCACCTTCCAGACCGGTCAAGAAGGTCGCACCAGCACCACCAATGAAAAAAACCGCACCTCCTCCACCACCTCCAGCATTGGCGGCCAAACCAAAACACCCAACCTATAAGGCGTTGTATGATTATGATGGATCAGTAGCGGGTTCAATTCCATTGGTTAAAGATACGGTTTATTATGTGGTTAGTATAAATGGAAAATGGGGGTTGACTAAGACTTTGGATGAGAGTAGAGAAGGTTGGTCGCCAATTGATTATTTACAAGAATGTGCTCCACCTGCTAATTTGGGCGGTGGGAAGAGTCCACCTCCACCACCTCCTCCACCGGTACAACAACAACAACAACAACCGGCGGCAGTTGCGGTTGGGACTTCGAATCCGGAGAGCTCAAATAGTTCATATGTGACTACTTCGACCCAACCTACGACTGAGAATGGAAGTCTTGGAAATAGTTTAGCTGATGCATTGAAGGCGAAGAAGACTGAGGAAACGACGTTGGCTGGGTCTTTGGCGGATGCTTTGAAGAAGAGACAGGGTGCTACTAGAGTTGATAGTGATGAAGAGGAAGAAGAAGATGACGATGATGATTGGTAGTTATTTTTATAGTGTTTATATATTATTATTGTTATTGTATGTGTTTTTTTATTAAATTGGTATGCTTGTGTTTGTTCTATGTAGTTGAGCTTATTCTATCTCTTCATTTGAGTTCAAGTGGTCTGGTGTTTAAGTCCCGGTATGGGAACTGGGGTGGTTCCGTTTGGTGGAAAAACGTTCTATTGTTGACTGACTAATTTTTTTGCGTGGAGATTTGTGAAATCTCATAAGCGCATTGAAGGAAAGTTAGTACGGGAATTCAACGAGACCCATCGTATTAGCATCTACCAACCAGATATGTCTAAGTCAAGGAATAGAAACAGTTTATTATCATCGCATGGAAGATCCTCATACTCCAATTCTGCCAAAGATGAATTGATTGCTATGAAATATCTGATGGAGAAACCATCAGTTCCATTATATCCATTAAATGATATTGATATTCAAGTAGAAACACCCAATACTAAACCTCCAAGAACCCAGGAAGCCACATATCCTGATTTTAATCGATGGAAAGATCATACTCAAATTTCAGGAGATAAGCAAGATCAAGAACATGAAAGATTGAAGAATACTTCATATTTAAACAAAGGATATTTCGAAGCTCCTCAAGTTGCCAATGAATATTATTCAGCTAGGAATTTGATCCAAGCTACGATATTCTCATCTACTGATAATTGTAATAATGTATTACGTGAATTATCTCAACATCTTGTTAATGCTTATAAAACGAGAAATGAAGTCATTAATAAAATCAAATTCGAATCCAATAATTTTAGAATCCCTCATCGAGTAACATTAACTGCATCAAAGAAGGAAGCATGGTTGAAGGAATTAGGAAATCCCAATGTCCCAATTCAGAAGATTGGTGAGAAGATACCTCATGGTATTAGAAATAAAGTATTGATAGATTCTGTATGTTCTCGAAACGTCCCATTAAATCGAGCACTTTGGTTTACAAAATGTGTCCTATTTGGAGAACTAATTGCATTAAGAAGAAAGCATCAAGCTAGAGCATCTATAAGTGGACCAACAGTATCACATTCATCTGAATATAATACGCCTGAGAAATTTGAAATTCATTGGTTACAAGAATGGACTCAGCAGGTTGCAGACTATGTATATAAGTTTTCTAAAGAGATGTTACATGTTGGTGCTGAAGATAAAAAAGATCATTATATGAAGAAATTAAATTATTTGTTAACGTATGTCCAGTCGTTATATGTTGAAAATTTACTTGATAAAAGTTTCTTCCTATCGTTAATTCTAAAATTTCTTAAAGATGGACTTACATTGGAATCAAAACATGTGAATGAACTTCTATCGAAGAACGATAGCGATGAAAAAATGGAAGACACTTGGATCCATGATATTGAAATTAATTATGGGGTTCGATTAGTATCAATTACATTGGTGAAAATGTTCTGGAAAGATTTGATAAAGGTGGATTATTTATGCAAAGAACTAAGTGAATTATTATTATTGAATCATGTGTTTATAAGTAAGATATCAAGTTATGGATCCAGAAAACAGAATAGGTTGTCATTACCTGAAAATTTGAAACAGAATATATTGAACTTAATCGCCGATACGATAATCTATTTATTCAAGTATAATACCAACGTGTTTATACTACCTAACTATTGGATTCTAATCCAAAGTTCATTATACAAGATTATGCTAGAAGATGCAGAATCACAACCACAAAAGATTCAAGAAGAAATACTGAACCAACTTGAACTTATCAAATACAGAAATGAGAGTTTAATTTTAAACATGAAACATATCCATATTCCAACAAGTGACCGACATAAGCATAAAAGAGCTTCATTCTCCAATTATAATATCACAGCTCCTTATTCCTCCCCCAGTCCAGGTGATTTAGTGGAAGGAGATGGAATCATAAATAGAAGCTCGGATGATATTTTACGTATCTTAAATTGTTTGGACAAACTTCAACTCAATGAAGAGATAGCAGAACTCTTAAGACCCCCATCTTTAAACAATACGAGAAAAGGATGTCCTAGCTGGAGAGAAAACTTAAGTCTAGTGTTATTTTGGTGCATAACTCCCTATCGAAACAATAAACTGTCAAGTGAAGATATTTTGATAGTTTGTAATTTTTTGAAGAAATATGTCCTTGGTAATCTTCAAGGAAAAGCCAATGCCAGTATCCGAGCGGAATTTGAAACTGAAATTCTTGAAACTATTTATAAAATTGCTGATTCGGAAAGTTTCCATAGTCTGAAATATGATGTCTATGTTTTGATTAATGAATTATATCAATTGAAGGTAATGACCATTGCTTCATATTTAAGGAAATTAATCGCTTCTGGTATTTTTTATTTAGCTCCTGGTACAGAACAAGATTTTCATAATTTCCCGGAGATAGTTAAGACCCATTTGGATATTTTGGAAAATTTACCAGTATTGAACAATAAGCAATGTGATAGTATTTTAAAGAAATGGACCCCGGATGGATTTAATTTCAGGAGTAAATTTGATGTTGGTCAGAAAATATTACAATCTGAGATTATTGATCGTTTGATTAATAATGATTTTGATGGAAATCTTGAAAATAGTTTAAGTTATTTTAAAGAACTCAATGTTGGGTTGAAATTTTTATTGGTGAATTGGATTACTAATGAGTTGCGAACTACTCTTATTGAATCAACTAAATTAATTCATTTTGATCCTATGGTGATTGCAAATTTATATCAGTTTTATTCCCAATGTGATAATCTTACTGTATTTTTCAAAGTTGTAATGAAGACGATTCTTAAGAATGAAGGAGGGATGAGTATATTTTATCTTGATTCGTTATATTTTATGGCCAGATTAATAATGCATCATTTCAAATTAATAAAATCATTAGCTGGAACTCCCAATGAAATTTCCACTACCGGATATGAATTATTTAAGTTGATAATTCAAAATTATAAAGATTTAAGTTCTCGAGAATATGATTATTTTAAGTTTAACCAAGTATGGAGCTTTATTGATAATGTAATTGAAAAAGATTATGATTCAAACAATAGTAATGAAACCTCGCGTCCTAATACTATGAAACTGACATCATTGACTTCAATATTTGAGAAAGACATCATCGATTCCCCAATGAAGATTAATACAGTAGAGCCTTCCCATACTCACATTACAAGAAATAGTGATAGATATACATCTACTGATTTTAGAAATGATTTAGAAATGCTTCGAAATAAGCCTCGTCCACGTTTGAATGGGGATGAGTTAATGGAAGCAGTGGATGCATTGGAAATCCAAACTAAGGATCTTTCGCTTCAAGAATCTGTTGTTGTTCAATTGAATTATTTATATGAGAACTCAAATAATCTTTCACAGGAACAAGAGAATATGTTGATTAAAGTACTTGTGAGTTCAAGAGTTGCACTCAAATCGGAAGGGTTCACTGTATTCTACCAAATAGTTCATCAATTTTGTACAGATTTGATTGAACAATGTGAGGATCCAAAGAAGCTTGGGTTATTTTTGAAGAAGTTGATCGTATTTGAAGTGTTAAGGATTAGTGATTTTGTCAATTTGGCTTTTCGTTTGCTACAAGAAACAAAGATACAACTGTTGATTTATGAGGTTCTTTTGGGTCAGGATGAAATTGAGAATAGTGAGTTTTTGAGCAATCAATTATTGATTATGACAATTTGGAGACAGAATTATCAAGAGAAATCTGCAGCAAACTTTAGGAAAATAATTCTGAATGGATTGTTGGCGGGCCCATTATTTTCAAGTGAGTTGTTGACAACTTATAGAGTCGTGGTGCTAAAATACATCCAACAAGTATTGGTTAGCAAAACAAAAGTTGCATTTGAGGAAATATTCGGACGGCTAAGAAATGAGAATTGTGTTAATCTTTTGAATATCTTGCTTGATAGGGGTGAGAATCAGTATGTCCGAACAATGGCTGACTTGCAAGATGTTGCCGGAGAGATAAATGAATTCAATTTACCGATTTATCAGATTCTTTTGAGGGTAATAACATTGAAAGAACTACAATCGGTTGACATGCCAGAGATGAAAGAGAAATTAGAGACGTTTACAAGTAACCTTTTGGCAAATTTGAGATTTGGGTTTTCTATATACAACTCATTTTTCGGAGAATTGTTCAACTATATGGCATGGAAACATAAGGCATGTATCCTCGATATTTTTGAAACTTGCTTTTTGACAAAGACACAGTTGGAAGAAGGAGACAGTCTATGTATTGATTCTAGTGGGAGAGATTTACTTGGATGTTTCAACGACTTTTTCAAAAAGTTTTCATCATCCTCAACCAAGACTGTTGACACCTCGGCTGACTTCTTCGAAAACCTTTCAGGATTCTTGTCTAAGTTAATGAATTTGATTAAATCCGATACTTTGGTTAAAGACAGTGCAGAATCCATCGCAATTACAATTTCAACTTTCTTGAGGATTTTAATTATACATAATCTGACATTATGCAAATTATTAGTTGGAATGACAGAGTCACAAGCTAAATTTGTCAAAAACTTGATTGGACTATTGAATTCGGGTTTCCTTCGTAAGAAAGATGATAAGTTACGGATATTGCTTTATGATCTATTATTATTAATGAAAAGCTCGATTACAGATGAGTTGACTTCCACCACCGAGACCGAACTTCAAGAAGCTACTTCCCCGGGAATATCAATGAGTTCCCACACGTTAGCGATGACACCGACAGCGCTACAATCGATTCCATCTCCGACCAAAGATAAAGCAGGCGGCCATGGGGACCAGTCAACTTCTGTGTCACAACACGGGTCAGTTATTTCAACGGGACTGATTCTAGATTTGTTTGATTTACCAGAACTCAAAGAGCATAATCGTTTGAAAGATGCTTTAGATGAATCGTTGGTTGATTGTTCTATAATGCTACAAGAAGATGAATTGAAATATGGAGGTGATGTGCATATATTCAATGAACGTGGGTTGGTGCTAATTCCTTCCTCTAATGAAGCAACCTCATTTGGAATCTTGAGTAATAAAGAACCTGCTAGAAGGAAGTCTATTAAATTTAAGAGTTTTGAAATTTTGGAAGATACAAGTTCTGCTTTGAATGATGGGTGTGTCAATCTTCAATGGTTGGATGCTTATACTACAAGAGAGAATCCACCTTAAGACAGTTTGTAGAAGTAACTCTTAAATAGAATAAGTAATTGTACAGTGTTTGACTTTGAAATGTATTTGCTGCTCGTTTAACCCACTGCCACAGACTAGGAATGTGTTTGCATAACTCCAGTACGCGTCACGGATAATTTGGAATTTTACCAATTCGAGTTTCTCTTTCTCTCCTGTCTTTTGATAACTCTAGGACATATAACTGGCAGGGTCTTATAGTTGTATTTTGATACTTGTCACCCCCACACGACCCTTTCCCGTTCCTCGCTTCAGAAAAGCGAAATCATCAAACTAGCCATTTTTTTTTGGTTGTAAGAAAAATACAACCCATTGATCAAGACCCTTTCTGAAACAGATCACAAATACGACACAAAGGAAAAAGAAAAGGAACTAGAAAATGCTGTCGTTACAAGAAACTTTGACACCGACGTTGGACGTCAACATGAACTTTGACACACCGCCGCAGCTAGGATCAGCTACAAGTGATGGGGGGTATGATTCTGCTACTCCAGAACTGGAAGGGAATAATCCGTTTGGAATAAACACAGGTGGCTCGAATGTGGCACTTCTTAATACTGATCTTGGTTTCTTAGCGAGTGCTAATTTCTCCTCGGATTCCCTTCCTGGTTCCGCAGATAGTTTCAACTCGTTGGACGATCAAATACTCAACAACAACAATAGTCTTATTACTCACGGACGAAGAAATTCATATACATCCGTTAGTAGTTCACCTGCGACTTCAAGACCTACGAATGGGAGGAGACCCAGACCACTTTCTGCATTTATGATGGATTCCAACAACTACGCCATCCATGAAGAAGAACCACAAGAGCATGGACAACAACAATTAGAACCGGCATTCACAAACACACCCCGGTCACGAAATTCAGTAACATTTGGTAAGCTCCCGTATTCACCAATCCCTACTTCACCATTAAGGTCGACCTCACCGGTCCGTTCCCATCGTCAATATCGACCCAAGTCTCCAGTTCGGAGAACACCTGCCAGTCCCGCAAATGTAACAACATCACCATTTAATTTCCAACCCCAGGAAATGCAACTTAATGGTTCTTCCGGTCTTCAAGTGAAACCTGCTCATCGTAAAGGGCATAAATATAAGCATTCATCGGTTTCGATGAATTTATTTCAAGAACCGGAAAAGCTACCTATAAGTCAAACACAACTCAGTGTCATTCCTGATTCATATCCGATCCCCAATTATAAAGAAACAGTAGCTTCCATTACCAATAATCAAAAATCTCGATTATTGTGGTCGATCTTACATTGTGGACTCTCAGTTGGGATCTTTATTGTGGGATTTAAGTTTAAGTTAGCTTCACTTTCAACATTGGCCCATTTAGTGTTTTATGATTCCTTAGGGTCTTTACTTATTGTATTTGTTGATATTATGTCAAATTTCGAAGTCTGGAATAAGTCTTCAATAATGTATCCATTTGGATTAGGGAGGATAGAAGTATTGGTTGGGTTTGCATTGAGTGCATCTTTAATTATGGTGGGGTTTGATTTATTTAGTCATTTCCTTGAAGAAGCAATTATGCTCTGGGTATCTCATGAACATAATGATGAAACTGATGCAGTTGCACCTTCTTCGCATCATGTGCATTCACATCCTGGAGCTGGTGGTGATCATTCTACAGGTTGGATGATTTATGAACTCGTTTTGTTGATTACGATGATTGTTTCATTGATATCATCAAATTTTATATTGAGTTATGATAGAATCAATGAGATGATAAGTTCCACAAATCAAAATGTACCGTATGGTCATAATCGCTCGACCAGTGGGCTTTTGGATGCAAAAATTGAAGATAGTGAAAGTTCAGTTGGGAACATAACTAGATTACAAAGAATCTTTAAAGCCTGGAAACGGAATCCAAGTCATTTAATAACATTAACATATACGCTATTTTTATTCTTAGCTCCAATTATTCCACAAAGTTTAACATCTGATTTAGCAGTTGATATCAATGAAATCGCGACTTTTGCAGTTGCGGGATTATTATGTTTCAATGGATGGAATTTAGTTAAATCCTTAGGGGGGATTTTATTATGTTCATTCCCATATTCAGATTATGAATATGAGAAATTAAAATCCAAAATTATTGATCAAATATTAAATCAAGATTTCTTTAAACCAGATTATCAAATTCAAAAGTTTTTCATAACGAAATTTAATTATAAATTATTTGTGGTTGGAGTTAAAATATCTATGAAAGGTGCTGATTCTGATGAAGAAGTTAGAGTAAAGTTTGAAGTTAATAGAATTATAACAAATGAACTTGCACTGTTGGATGGGGAAAGTAAGAAAACCCATCCGGAAATTACAATTGATATTGATAGATTTTGATGACTAAAAGACAATAGTATGAGTCAGTAAGGTGTGATACCCATTGGCTCGTCAATTAATGAGTCAACTTAAAATGTTTATAGATAATATTAGAAAAGGTTCATATCTATATTTTTTAATTTATAATCAGTTAATTAGTGCCTTCCTAATTGGGTAATTGAAAAATGAGTCAAGCGCGATACAAGCAATCTCATTGAAACTTTTTTTTTTTGATATAAAAATTATCACCCACACTTTTCATTAATTCTCTTTTCAAAGGCATATCTCTTTTAGAAATACACAATACATAAGTAGAAGATGTTAAGATCGGTTAGTAAGACTTTGAAGTTCAAGTCATTCCGTGTGGGGGTCTCTAAGTTCTCCACTAGTTCTATCTTTAGAACCCAAGCAATCCCTGATGCATCTGAAACCACTGCCACAGGACAATTTGTCAAGACTGTTTCCAAACCATATACAGTCACCACTTATTCTCGTCCAAATTTAGTATTAACCCATGGTAAAGGTTCATATATCTATGATCTTGAGAACCGAAAATATATTGATTTCTATGCCGGTATAGCTGTTACTAGTTTAGGACATTCCAATCCTGAAATTACCAATATCATAAATGATCAATCCACCAAATTATTACATTGTTCAAATTTATTTTATAATTTACCAGCAGGAGAATTGGCTAATAATTTAGTCAACAAGACTAAATCATTTGATGGGATGTCTGAAGCATCACGAGTATTTTTATGTAATTCCGGTACAGAAGCCAATGAAGCAGCATTGAAATTTGCCAGGAAATATGGGAAATCAATTGATGAAGAAAAATATGAAATTATTACATTTGAAAATTCATTTCATGGTAGAAGTATGGGTGCACTTTCAGTCACTCCAAATCCAAAATATCAAGCTCCATTTGCTCCATTAATCCCAGGGGTTAAAGTTGCCAATACCAATGATATCGAATCAGTTAAGAAATTGATTAATAAGGATAAGACATGTGCTGTTATTATTGAACCTATTCAAGGTGAAGGTGGGGTGAATGTGGTTTCAACTGAGTTCTTACAACAACTTCGTGATTTATGTAATGAGAATGATGTTATATTAATCTATGATGAAATCCAATGTGGTTTAGGACGTACTGGGAAATTATGGGCACATAGTGATTTACCTGCCAGTGCTCATCCAGATATTGTGACTATGGCAAAAGCATTAGGTAATGGGTTCCCAATTGGTGCTACTATGGTTAGTGAAAAAGTTGAAAGTGTGTTAAGAGTTGGTGATCATGGCACTACTTATGGTGGTAATCCTTTAGGTTCACGTATTGGTAATTATGTCGTTGAAACTATTGCACAACCTGAATTCTTGGAAGAGGTTAATAAGAAATCACAAAGGTTTATTAAGGGGTTACAAAAGATCGCTGATACTTATCCTGATAAGATTGTTGATATTAAGGGTAAAGGATTATTATTAGGACTTCAATTTGATGCTACTGCTGATATTGGAGAGATTGTTAGTAAGTGTAGACAACGTGGCTTGTTGATTATTACTGCTGGTAATAATGTGATTAGAATTGTTCCTGCCTTGAACATTCCTGATGAAACCATTGATGAAGGTTTAAAGATCTTATCAGAATCAATTGGTGAAGTGTGTACGTAGTTGCAGTGCTACCATATTAATTATTTTGGTGCTACCATGTGTTGTAAATACTCCGTAAAGACGAAAAATAAATTTAAACCTTTTTTATTTCTTTTGGATTGTAGATTAATCAAATCATCATCTTTGAGTCATAGAGGACACTTAGCCCATTTTATATATTAATAAGTAATAAAAGAACGCATTTCAGTAGAAGACGCTCCAAGGGAACAACAAGGATAGACCAGTTGATCGATTTTACGAAAAATCTCAAAAGCATATCCCCATAGAAATATTTACGAGACAGCACGTAATGACAATTCCATTTAGCATACCAATAACCGATCTAGACTATTGTTTAGAACAACTATTAGATCATAAACCACCCAAGATTCTCCCACCGGAAACAATCCAACAACTATGTCACACCTTAAAAACCCAACTACTTTCAGTCCCCAATATAATGCCCTTACAATCCCCCATATCAATAGTCGGAGACATTCATGGCCAATTTCATGACTTGTTAGAAATCTTCCAAATTGGAGGATCACCCCCCAGCACCAACTATTTATTTCTTGGCGATTATGTCGATCGAGGGTATTATTCAGTGGAAACCATAAGTTTATTGATTGCTTTAAAATTACGATATCCGGATCGAATTTTCCTCATACGTGGAAATCATGAATCAAGAACCATAACCACGAATTATGGATTCTATACCGAAGTCCTAAATAAATATAATGGCAGTGCTGATGTCTGGACCTATATAACTGATTTATTTGATTATTTACCCTTGGGTGCCACAATCGATGGGAGGATATTCACCTGTCATGGGGGATTATCTCCCAGTTGTCAACAATTGGATCAGATTAGGGCTGTGGATCGATTTAGAGAGATTCCTCATGATGGAATAATGGCAGATTTGGTATGGAGTGATCCTGATGTTGAAATTATGGATTTTAAATTATCACCGAGAGGTGCGGGTTATTTATTTGGATTGGATGTTATTAATAAATTTTGTCATGATAATGAATTAGTACAGATGATTAGAGCACATCAGTTGTGTAATGAGGGATATACTAGTTATTGGAAGGGGAAGTGTTTAACAGTATGGCTGGCACCAAATTATTGTTATAGATGTGGGAATAGGGCAAGTGTATTGGAGATATTACATTCGAATTATGAAGCGAGGGAGAGTATACAAGAGAAGGGTGGCGATGATAGTAAAGAAGTAAGTTATCAAGATTATAAGGATAGGTTTAATGATTGTAAATTACATAAAATTCAAGGAGTATTACCGGGGCAATTCTTTAATATATTTGAAGCATCACCTGAAAATGATGAAGATACACTTAATGGCAAAAGTGTTTATGATGATATGGTTAATGAAGATTCATTTGGTCTGTATTTTAAAGGAAGAGAAGTGAATACATCTCGTTCAAATAAAAGACAACAACAAATGAAACAACAGTATGTTGATTACTTTTTATAGAATAATAGTTAATATATATCTAGATATATTTACCTACCCATAATACAATTCTAAATTGTAACCATTATGGATTTCATAATCATCTAAAGTTATATGATCTTTAAATACTTGATATCCTTTCTTAAGTATAAGCTTGTCATATGAAGTACCCAATTGTAATGATAGTATCTTCTTAAGATCTAATATAGTATCACTTGATAAACATTTAACTTTTATCTTCTTACCTAATCTATCGTTTACTTCTACTTCAATCATGGTCTGTCTTCTTTATATCCTCAACTTGGGTTGGTTGGTTGGGTTAAATATTATAAATGGATGTATCTAAAAATTGTACTAGAAATGGTGGTAGTGGATATTCAATGATTAGGAATGGATGTAACCCACGAACTCATCTATCAATTCACTCTCTGTTTATACAAAAAAGAGGTCGTGTACTTTTGATAGATTTTATGTTCTACGTCTGGAAGCGCTGCAAGAGAAGCATTTATTAAAGATTGTGCATGGCTATACCGAACTTTTATCCTACATTGTGTAGTGATAGAATACCAAGTGCAGATATCTGGCTGTCTTCATCATGATATTTGATAGTATTGACCAAGAAATTTCTACTCGGGTTTATTCTTTAGCTTAGGTTCTAGTTTCCTTTCCATATCAGTTTTATTGTTCCTTGTCAACAAATTACCAAAAACTCAAATTGTAATTGAAGTTCGTCAATAAGGGGCTAGAAGTCGAACATCTTATCAAAATAGAATTATCCATCAAACACGGTGAATCTCTGAGAAAAGTTGTCAATGGACCAGTTATGTAATGAAAGTTGTTTTCGGACACCGCTCGTTCTACAAGAAAACAATCCATCCTATTCTACATTAGGTAACGAATTCCGCCTAAACTGCAAAAGTTCTCGGTGATAAGCATGCTAAGCTTCTGCGTCTTTCTCCCAGGTTGTGGCAAATTACAACACAAAGGTACAGTAGGTACATGCGGGTTTTTGTGGTTTTTTTGCAGCCACAATTCAAAAAAATAACTTACTAGACTCAAATTATGTACACTAAAAGAAACCGCGGATATATGCAATTGAATTACGAGCCTTATGCATAGTTCAAATGCAGTTTGATCCCGATAAGAGGGGTGGTTTCTCCCCAGAACTATTAAAGAAGACCATAGTGAGAGATAATTCTTAGGGGATCATTATACTAATTTCCAGTGGCAAATACCTTTGTGTAATTGACATTGTATTTATTGAATTCAGCCTGTTTCAAAGCCTTAATTAATCTTGTCCTGCATACTTTGGGTTTGTTCACTAGACGGAAGGGTAGAGTTTAGGATATTCTTAGGAGTTGGTAGCGCGGTGTTTGGAAAATTGTTTTGCAACACTTTCGTTAAAACCAATATTGAAATAATCTTGGATCATATTGTGGGGAAATTTCAGAAAGAATATACTCAACTGGAGGAAGGTGTTTATTGGTTCAAGTTTTTGCAATGGATGTGAGATAATGGAACACTGCTTACTTTTGTAATAGGCTAGGGCAAGTGTGCACCTTTCGAAAGAAAGTTGTTAGAGTTTCTGAGGTTAGAGAGACTATTGTAAGCGACCTATAGTCACATTCGTAACTTTCCTGGATATTTCAGATGAGTAACGGCCCAGATTGAGAAATTGATTCCAAGTGGAAATGCCAAAATGATCGTCTATTTAAATTGAACCATGTGTAGAGTCAACTAATACCTGATTGGAAATCATCGTCGAAAGCATCGGGTGATTAAGAATGTATCGAAGATAATTCCAATGCAGTTCTAGAGGATTCAACAATCTACTTCAAGATTTTCCAATTTTAACACGTTCAATCTTGAAGCAATCTACAGGAGATTAAAAAAGTAATCAGGTAGTTGGGTCAAAGAACAGAAATGTACATTGTTCTAAACTGAATGACTTGTCATTGAAACTTGATGAAATATTGTCTCAGAAATAAATCATTGGAAACCCCTCACCCAATAATGGGTGCTTCGCTCCTCACGAAAGTCGTGCAACCCATCTACATTGACTCCTCAATTTCATTCTCTATATATTAAGATGTGTATTGCCAAATAAAAAAATTGCTGATACTCAAAACTCGGGGAATTATTTTTGAAATAATAAAATAAAACAGGGGGAACATTTTTTAGAAGTGAGAGAAACTGGGCTGAAAGAAATCTTGCATCGTTTCTATTTAACCGCGTGACGCGATTTTTATTTTGTTGAAAAAAAAAACAATAAAAAGAACGAGCGTTTAATATACAATGTGGCTGATATACGTCACTACTGCGTGGCGGTAATAACAGTTCTGTTAGTCTCATGATTAAAGTTGTATAAGCATCTCCGAAAGCCATTGACTAAATCATTAAATCTTAAATAATTTACTGAGTCACGGAAAGCTACAAAAGAAATTTTTAAAGTTTAGTGAACTCCTATTTAAACTTATATAACCATAAATTGTACGTATACTAATCATTGTTCAATATTAGTTTTAATTAACAACAAATTATGTGTATATGCAACATTACACAAGATTACAATAGGCGAAGAATAGAAAGTATTTGGTTCATGCACACACAAACATTGTTGAGTTAAAAGAACACAAAATATAAGATCTTTGCCAAGTCACTCTTTTTCTTTGATTTTTTTTGGCTTCGGACCGATCTCGATGTTTCTTTTCTTGGCTTAGAAAGGGGCCCCATTGCCGAGAAAGAAAAACAAAACGATTTCCCAAAGATCCATTAGCGCATCGTTTTTGACATTTTGCATGAGATTACAAATTGACAGGTCTTTCTTCTTCTACCCCAAATATAATGGAAAACATTATAGAATTTAGGGAAGACGAATACAACGTCAGGGGCAACTGGTAGAGAGAAAATAGAAACAATTATGTTGTTTTCATTGTTCTCCCGTTTTAGCAAAAAAATTATTATTATTTTGTCAGTTGAAATTTATTATTCTATTGTTTTTAAAATAAATTTCTAATTTTCAAAAAACTTTGCGTGAAACTCTTCTGTACTTCTTTTGCTTCTATTTATAATACATAAATAATTCTATCACACGATGTTTAACCATTTCATTTCATTCTCTCTTTCTTCTTCTCTTTAACTAGACACTAAAAAAAGGAAAAGTCTATTTATTTCATCGTCATCATTCCATCATTCCATTATCTAACAAAATAGCAACATCGTCATCATTGCCATCACCATCTCTCCATCCCAACCATATTACCATCATTTTCCATTTTCTTTGCTTTCCAGTAAGTACATTAATCATTTAATTCATTTTTTTCAACCCTAGCCACTCAAGCCACTCGAGCCCCTATTAGTTGGTTTTTTGTTCCCCCCCTTACATATATAAATCTCCCCCACGTTGGTTATTGAAATTTTTTGCATATTTAACTCACACGATATTACAAACACTATTGTATTATAGATAATTAACTATCAACCATCACAAGACAAGAATAATCAAAGATGCTTAAGTCTTCACTAAATAACTTCTTACCATTACAATATTTGAAAAGAATATTCATGTTAATACTTCTGATTAGAAGAAAGAATACTCAATTATTAATGATAAGTATAGTATTAATCGTGGTAATATTTACAATAATATCATCAACATCTTATAAAGAAACTTTAATTAAATATTATCCTAATAATTATTTTGATTTATTAATTAAAGATATTTATACCCCAGATTCAGATCCTGAAAAATGGTTTGATAAAGAAATTGATTCAATTATTAAATTGAAAGCAAAAAATGATTTAGAAGATAAATTTTGGTTAATAAATACTGATATTGTTGATTCTACTTTAAAAATTCCAGAATATTATGATCCAAAAAGAAAAATATCTCGTAAGAATCCTGAAGATCTGGACGAGGAAGATCAAGATGGGAAACCAATTATACAACCATTTGATCCAAGATTCACATTGGGTTTATATTATTATTATATAAATGAACAATTATCCAAAGGAGTCAAAGAGGTAGAAATTCCATTCAATTGGTATGACTGGTTGGATTTTTCTGAATTAAATAAATATTTATTAGCTCCACCAAATGAAAAACCAACTTGTAAATTATTAGATGCAACTGAAGAAGCCAGAAAACATGCAGAAAAAGTTAAAAAGGCACAAGAAGCTAAGAAAAAAAAGGAAGAAGAAAAGAAAAAGGAAGAAGAACGTAAGAGAAAAGAACAAGAAGAAAAGAAACAAGAAGAAGAACGGAAAAAACAAGAAGATGAAAGAAAAAAGGCTGAAGAAGAACAAAGAAAGAAAAAGATTGAAGAGGAGTTTAACCCAGATTTGGATAAGGAAGATGTTCCAGTACCACTTCGTGCTCCAGAAAAGAAACCAAAAGAGCAACAGCAAGGACAAGCTAAAGCTCAAGCTGAAGATGAGTTTGACCCAGATTTGGATAAAGAAGATGTCGGAGTACCACTTCGTGCTCCAGAAAAGGAGCCAGAACAACAACAGCAGGAGCAAGCTGAAAAGAACCCTTTAGAAGGACAGCAACAAGTTGAAAAGAAACCTGAAGAAGCCAAACCTCAAGAAGGGCAACAACAAGGAGAAGCTAAATCCGATGAAGCCAAACCTCAAGAAGGTCAACAACAAGGAGAAGCTAAACCCGATGAAGCCAAACCTCAAGAAGGTCAACAACAAGGAGAAGCTAAACCCGATGAAGCCAA